AATAAAAGATAAAAACTTATCTTAAATCCTCCACCAAACTTATGATGTCCATTTGAATCTCTTCTCTTTTACAACACTCTCAACTCTCAAAATAAAACTAAAAATAAAAAAAGTAAATTTTGTGGTGCCTGAATCTCTCCACAAGATTCTCCACGATCTTCTTCTCAGAACTCCAGTACTCTCTCCCTCTTCAAGAACCCACTTCAAATGTAAAAACTTCCTTCTTTTATAAATCTCCAAAAGGCGCCTTGGAAACTCTTCAAAATGTGTCTAAATTTGATGTATTCTCCAAAGGATGCCTCCTTTCACAAGTCTTTTAATAATATTTTCGTTCTTAGTGTTCATAACCATCCTCTTAAGCCAATAGATGCCTCAAATACCTCTTTAAAATTTGGTCAAATGAACAAATAACTGCCTCTGGCGCTTAAGCGCGAGGCCTCTGGCGCTTAGACGCGGCCTTCTCTGTTTAATCGACGCTTAAGTTAATCGATGCTTAAGTGCCAGATCTGACGCTTAGGCGCCAAAACACTTTAGCACAATTTTCACCTCTTTGCTCCAAATTTGATTCTTTTTCAGTCCTTTTAGCATTTTTCACCTTTTTACTTGTACCTAACAGAAAAACACACAAATACCTTCCATTAAAGTGCAATATCTCAAAAATAGGTATAAAAATGTGTCTAAAAATACTATATATTTTAGGTGTATTACCCACTCACTCAAGAATGACATTTTTGTCATACACGAAAGTCTTATCCAACAGTTTAACATCAATTTTGATCAGAGTCAATCTCTTAATCGTCCTGACCAAACTACACATCTAAGTGGAGTATTTAGGAGCCATTGGACTCTGAAGAGAAGCTGATTCAAAGATAAGAAAAGCGAATAAAAGTAAATCTTTACTTACTTTTTGTTCAACCCTATATATAAGCCTCATGAGGAAGTCAAAATGCCTCATCGGGCTCCACCAATGAGTCACATTAGTGCAATAATTGAGGGCACATTGAATTCAAAAATTATGAAAAATTTTATTTATATAAGGGAATATTTTGCACAAGGGTTGTCCACTGCCTCATACAGGACTAAACCCCGACTCAATAGACGCATGTAGAATG